AGCAAGCTGATGAAAGCAGAGCAAAATACCTTATTAAGTACAGATTGCCAGCTGATAAAGGATATGCCATCATATAAGGAGTCAGAAGAAGTTTCTGAGAAACAAGAGAAGCCAAAGCAAGAATTTACTAATGAGAATGAAGGACTAAAAGAAAACAAAGATATGAAGAAGCCAAAATCCTCAGAACCAACCATTCCACCACCTAGAATAGCTTCTGGAGCAAGGGGGAATGCAGCCAAGGCTTTGTTGGAGAACTTTGGTTTTGAGTTAGTTATCCAATACAATGAGAACAGACAAAAAGTGCAGAAAAAAAGCAAGACTGGTGAAGGTGAAAACACAGACAAACTGGAATGTGGAACCTGCAGTAAGCTCTTTTCCAACATTCTTATTCTAAAGAGTCATCAAGAACATGTGCATGGACAGTTTTTTCCATATGGAGCATTAGAAAAATTTGCCCGACAATACAGGGAGGCATATGACAAGCTTTATCCAATTTCTCCGTCTTCTCCAGAAACACCACCACCTCCAGCACCACCTCCACCACCACCACCACCACCTCCTCCTCTTCCTCCTCCTCCTCCGCTCCGGCCCTGCCCTGCGCCGCTAACAAACTGAAAGCAGAAAAACAGAGATTTGCTCCGTACTGAGGCTGCTTGTGGCCTTAGAGGACCAGCAGAAACCCTTAGAGGAGACTTGGGAAGACTTAATTGTCTTTATTTTCCCCCTCCTCCTTCTTATTTCCCCCCCTCCTCCTTCTTATTTCCCCCCCTCCTCCTTCTTATTTCCCCCTTTTCTTTCTATTTTGTTCTTTTATCTCAGAACAATTTCCCACCATGTCCTGTTTTCCTGGCACCTCGTGACCAGTTTCCTCCCCCATCCTGCTTGTAGTCCTTGCTCTTTTTGATTTATTTTGATACTTTTTGTTACTTCCTCCTTTTCTCTCTTACAGTAACTTGGCTTTGGGGAAGGGTTGGTGGGAGGGCTTAATTAATTGATTCAAATAGATTTGCTCTGCACTGAGGCTGCTTGTGGCCTTAGAGGACCAGCAGAAAAACCCTTAGAGGAGACTTGGGAAGCCCTAATTGTCTTTATTTCCCCCTTTTTCCTTCTCCCTTTCCCTCCCCTTTTTCCCCCTCCCTTTGCCCCCTTTTTCCCCCTCCCTTTGCCCCCTTTTTCCCCCTCCCTTCTTTAGCTTTTTCCCCTCAGAACAATTTCCCACCATGTCCTGTTGTTCTGGCATCTCGTGACCAATTTCCTCCTCCATCCTTGTAGTCCTTGCTCTTCTATTTATTATTTTTATATCCTTTTTGCTATTTCCTCCTTTTCTCTCTCTTAGTCCCTTGGTTTTGGGAAGGGGTTAATTAATAGATTAAACCAGATATTCACTCTGTACTGAGGCTGCTTGTGGCCTTAGAGGACCAGCAGAAAAACCCTTAGAGGAGATTTAAAAGGGCAAACTGTCTTTTTTCTTGTTCATTTTCTCCCCATTTCTCTTCTTTTCCCCTTTTATTTCTATTTTTTCCCTTTTTCTTCCTCTTTTCCCCCTTTTTTTACCTCAGACCAATTTCCCCTCTTGTCACCAACCTGGTGTCTAGTGACTTGATTTCCTCCACCCTGCTTATAGTCCTTTCTTTTAGTATTTTGTATTATTTCTTTTATTATTTCCTCTTTTTCTCTCTCTTTAGTAGTTTGATTTGGGGAAGAGTTAATTAATTAATCCCCCCCTTTATTCCTTCTTTCTCCCCCCAGAACAGTTTCATGTCCCAACCTCTGGTTTCTTAGTGCCCCATTTCCTCCTCTATCCTCCTTGTAGTCCTTGCTTTCCTTTTTTTATTCCTCCTTTTCCTTTTGATTCTTTATTTCCTTTGATCATTTCCTCTTTTCCTCTATTTTAGTAGCTTAGTTTTGGGGACAGGAGGATTGAATTAATTAAGAGGAGTTGATTAATTAAGAGGAGGGGAGGATTCAGTCTAGGACTGATTTCCTCCTCCATCCTGCTCTAGACCTTTTATTTTCCTTATTTCTTTCCTTTTTGATCATTTTCTCTTTTCTACATTTTAGTGGCTTGATTTTGGGGGGGGTTGGGGAGTGGAGAGGGGTTAATTAATTAATTAAACCCATGATTTGCTCTGTCCTGAGTCTGCTTGAGGCCTTAGAGGACAAGGGAAAAACCCTTAGAGGAGGCTTCATAAGAGCAAATTTCCTTTTCCTTTCCCTTTTTTCCTCATTGTTTCCCAATTTTCTTCTTTTTCTTTCCTTTCTCTTCTTATTTCTCCCCCCCCTTTTCTTTTTTTTCCCTTTTCTTTCCTTTTTTACCTCAGAACAACCCCCCCCCACCACTGTCCTGTGCCTCATTTTCTCCTCCATTGTAGTTCTTATTCTTATTCTTTCCTCTTCTATTTCTACCTTCTTGGGTTTTTTTGGGGAGGGGGGAGGAGGGAAGGGTTAATTAATTAAGGGGGGGGTGGGTTTAATTGCCTTGTCACTCATTAATTAATTAATGTCTGTACCTGTAATAAAGTTGCCATGGTGAGAATCTGCTCTGCTAAGATCTGTGCCCAAGGGGGGGGGACACACTCAGGGGGTCCCTCTTAGCTTTTGAGGGGGGCTCATTGTCACCCACCTTGGGGTTGTATGTGTGTCCCCCCCCATTCAATTCCTTGAGGGCAGCTTTTGGGGGTGCTGGTGTTAACCTCTGCTTGCTTGGGGACCCCCCCTTTGCACTGTCCCCCTCCCTTTGCACTATTCCCCCCCCATATGGGGGTACAA